CTGAAGTCCTGTTCCTCCAGAAAGAAAGTCATTAGTCTAGGTGGTGGGGGGTGGCGGGGACTGTGTTGTTGGCTAAAGTAGTCTTGGGTGGAATCTCTACCTCACTGAACCAGCAAGAGGGAAGGAGGAAGCAGTACTGATTTGTTTTTTTGTTTGTGTGTGTGTGTGTGTGTGTGTGTGTGTGAGGAGGACGAGCCCTGAGCTAACATTCATTGCCAATTTTCCCCTTTTTGCTGAGGAAGATTGGCCCCGGGCTAACATCCATGCCCATTTTCCTCTACTTTATATGGGACACCGCCACAGCATGGCTTGACAAGCAGTGCGTCACTGGGCACCAGGGATCCGAACCTGCAAACACTAGGCCGCTTCACACTAGACCGCTGAAGCGGAGCACACGCACTTAACCGCTATGCCTCCAGGCTGGCCCCGCAGTACTGATTTGAAAACCACAAACTCTCTCACTTTTTACCAAATTTTCAGAGATGTTCGTGAATAAATGCTTCCTCATTTGCTGTTCATCCTTAGGATCATTTCCAGAGACGTTAAATGGCTGGTTTTCTGGGATTTTTAAAAGCATTTTCACCAGCTTCACTGGGGAGTACGTCAGCATAGCTCCTCGTGCTATCATGCCAGAAGTCAATCTCCCATGTTCTTTAACACGCAGGCGAAGGAAGCAAAGTGCTAGGGCTCTATATATGCCATCTCATTTAATCTTCACAATTGTGAGGCAAATATTATAGATCTTACTTTTATTTTTTTTATTTTATTTTTTTTGCAGGGAAAGATTTGCCCTGAGCTAACATCTGTTGCCAATCTTCCTCTTTTTTTTTCCTTTTTTTTCTTTTTTTCCTCCCCAGAGCCCCAGTACATGGTTGTATATCCTAGCTGTAAGTCATACTAGTTCTTCTATGCGAGCGACCACCACAGCATGGCAATTGACAGACAGGTGGTGTGGATCTGTAACCGGGAAGCAAACCTGGGCTGTTTGGTGAGAGCGCTGAATTTGAACCACTAGGCCATCAGGGCTGGCTCTTGAGTCCCAGAGTCATTTAGTAACTTGCTCCAAGGAAAACAGCAAATAGGTGGCAAAGATCTGATTCAAAACCAGGTCTAACTGCCTCCAAAGCTCACACTCTTGATTAATTCTGTCCTTTCACCTTTTATACAGATACTTCTAAAATTCAGAACTCATGAGACAGTTATGTCCCTATGCAGTCACAATGATTTCTTTAGTTGTAAATACATCATTTTCTTCCTCATCTGGATCTTTTATAATAATTCTATAAAAAGTACTATTCTATTTCCTCATGCCTTGAGCTACATTCTCACAAAGAATCTATGACTAAGGAGCTGTTATCTTTTCTGTACTTTTAAAATCTGTTTTCCTAAGGAGCAAGGTAGATCTGATGTGCACTGTTTGGTTCTCTGATTATTACAAACATTAAGATGACAAGGTCTCTTTTCTCTCAAGATTACCATTGTGCATAAGCACATATGCAAAACCAATTAAAAATATTAAGAAATGATGATATTTCCATTAAAAAAAGACTCACACTTATCCTGAAGATTCTTAGACACAAAATTACAAGATTTGGGGGGAAAGTTTAACATACCAAAAAATCCATACAGTCACAACTGACCAGTCATTAATAAGAAGATTCCACTTTAAAAGTGATTTCATGCTTTTAAATATATTTTAAATTAGTAAGTGCCAAGTGTATATTTTGAATATACAAAATATAACAAAATTCTTACCATCCAGATTTAAACCAAAACAAAATCCTAAAAATAAAAAACTAGATAAAGCTAAAGTATATAAGAAGAAATCTTTCTCTGTACAGGCATACCTCATTTTATTGCGCATCACTTTATTACGCTTCACGGACGCTGCGTGTTTTTTTTTTGTTTTTTTTTTTTTTTTTACAAATTGAAGGTTTGTGGCAACCCTGCATTGAGCAAGTCTATCAGCACCAATTTTCCAATAGCATTTGCTCACTTCATGTCTCTATCTCACACTTTAGTAATTCTGGCGACATTTCAAACTTTTTCATAATTATTACATTTGTTATGGTGATCTGTGATCAGTGAACTTTGATGTTCTATTTGTAATAATAATCTTTGATTACTATTGTAATTGTTTGGGGGGTACCACAAATTGCACCCATATAAGACAGCAAACTTAATAAATATTGTGTATGTTCTGACTGCTTTACCACCTGGCTATTCCCCTCCCTCTCTCCTTCTCCTTGGGTCTCCCTATTCCCTGAGACACAACAATATTGAAAGTTGGCCAATTAATAACCTTACAATGACCTCTAAGTGTTCAAGTGAAGGGAAAAGTCGCATGTCTCTCACTTTAAATCAAAAGCTAAAAATGTGTAAGCTTAGTGAGGAAAGCATGTTGAAAGCTGAGATAGGCCAAAAGCTAGGGTCTTGTGCCAGTTAGCCAAGTTATGAATGCAAAGGAAAAGTTCTTGAAGAAAATTACAAGTGCTACTCCAGTGAACACACGAATGATAAAGCAAAACAGCCTTATTGCTGATATGGAGAAAGTTTTAGTGGTCTGGATAGAAAATCAAACCAGTCACAGCATTCCCTTAAGCCAAAGCCTAATTCAAAGTGAGGCCCTAACTCTCTTCAATTCTATGAAGGCTGAGAGAGGTGAGGAAGCTGCAGAAGAAAAGTCTGAAATTAGGTTCATGAGATTTAAGGAAAGAAGCCATCTCCATAACATAAAAGTGCAAGGTAAAGCAGGAAGTGCTGATGTAGAAGCTGCAGCAAGTTCTCCAGAAGATCTAGCTAAGACAATTAACGACAGTGAATACACTAAACAACAGATTTTCAATGTAGATTAAACAGCCTTATTTTGGATGAAAATGCCATCTAGGACTTCCATAGCTAGAGAGGAGAAGTCAGTGCCTGGCTTCAAAGCTGCAAAGGACAGGCTGACTCTCTTGTTAGGGGCTGATGCAGCTGGCGACTTTAAGTTGAAGCCAGTGCTTATTTACCATTCTGAAAATCCCTGGGCCCTTAGGAATTATGCTAAATCTCCTCTGCCTGTGCTCTAGAAATGGAACGACAAAGCCTAGACAACAGCACATCTGTTCACAACATGGTTTACTCAATATTTTAAGTCCACTGTTGAGAACTAGTGCTCAGAAAAACAGATTCCTTTCAAAATATGACTGCTCACTGACAAGGCACCTGGTCAGCCAAGAGCTCTGATGGAGATGTACAACGAGATTAATGTTGTTTTCACGCCAGCTAACACAACATCCATTCTGCAGCCCAGAGATAAAGGAGTAATTTGGACTTTCAAGTCTTAATATTTAAGAAATACATTTAGTAAGGCTATAGTTACCATAGATAGTGATTCCTCTGATGGGTCTGAGCAAAGTAAATAGAAAACCTTCTGGAAAGTATTCACCATTCTAGATGCCATTAAGAATATTCCTGATTCGTAGGAAAAGGTCAAAATATCAACATTAACAGGAATTTGGAAGAAGCTAAGTCCAACCCTCATGGATGACTTTGAGGGGTTCAAGATTCCAGTAGAGGAAGTAACTGCAGATGTGGTGGAAACAGCAAGAGAACTAGAACTAGAAGTAGAGCCTGAACGTGTGACTGAATTGCTGCAATCTCATGATAAAACTTTAAGAGATGAAGAGTTGCTTCTTATGGATGAGCAAAGAAAGTGGTTTCTTGAGATGGAATCTACTCCTGGTGAAGATGCTGGGAAGATTGTTGAAATGACAACATAGAATTTAGAATATTACATAAACTTAGGCAATAAAGCAGCAGCAGGGTTTGAGAGGATTGACTCCAATTTTGAAAGAATTTCTACTGTGGGTAAAATGCTATCAAACAGCATCGCATGCTACAGGGAAATCATTTGTGAAAGGAAGAGCCAATCAGTGCAGCAAACTTGACTGTTGTCTTATTTTGAGAAATTGCCACAGCACCCCAACCTTCAACAACCACCACTCTGATCAGTCAGCAGCCACCAACATCGTCAAGATCCTCCACCAGCCAAAAGATTACGACTCACTAAAGGTTCAGATGATGGTTAGCACTTTTTAGCAATAAAGTATTTTTTAATTAAGGTATTACGTTGTTTTTTTAGATATACTGCTAATGCACACTTAATAGACCATGGTATAGTGTAAACATAACTTTTATATGCACTGGGAAACCAAAGAATTTGTGTGACTTGCTTTATTGCAACATTCACTTTATTTTGGTGGTGTGGAACCGAACCACAATCTCTCTCAAGTATGCCTGTTGTTACTTGCCAAAAGAAAAAAAAATTTAGATAAAAAGACACGTCAATCTAGATTTAAAACTTTAGCCTTTACCTCTACTTGGCTCCATTATCACTGTCACAAAAAAAATTTTTTGGCCAGTTTTTACCGCCTCAAAAAGTAAGATTTCCTGGTAATAAATTCTCCTGCTTAATTCTGATGTTGGGCTGAGTGTTAGAGGAAAAAACAGCTACTGAAGACAAAACGTCCAAAATTACAAGACTCATCAAGGGAATTGGGAACACATGGGAAGGATTACAGTTACGTGTTATATTTAAACAAAGTTTAAAGAATGCATTAGGGTGTGATTGTTTGCTCCAAGTGGCTCTTTCTGACACAACAGAGGCCCACACACTTGTCGGAGTTCTGTCACACTTGGGAACCCCAGTTAGAACCTGGCAATAGGAAAGACCCTCAGTCACATGTTCAGATGGGATGTTTGTTTTTGGAGATCTTTAGTCTCAACTGTCAACACCTGACTGAAATAAACAAAACACCTTTGCTAAGGAAACAAAGATGGTGAAGGGACTTAAATAGGTAAATCAAAAATAATTAAAACTACTTTGTTGATAGAAAATGACAGCACTGAAGGACAGCATGAAGTGACAGCTGCTCAACTGACAAAGGCATTGAACAGCTATTTTAGGTTTTCCATAGTGTGCTCAATAGCTGTTTAAAGAATGCAATAAATGTACTTACCAAATATTTCCCCTCCACTAGCATATTCTGTCACCAGATAAATCATCCGTTCTGTCTCCATAACCTGGTGCAAAGGCAGGAAAGCGACAGACAGTGACAAAAATGACAGGCTGATATCACAGGGAGAGAAACTAACGACTCCTCTTTTGTCATTTTAAATATTAATAACTATTACTGCTTAAAGAAAACTTAAAATGTTGGGGGGGCAGATATGTTATTAAGAAGAAAGGGGGAAAATAGATATTCCTCCTCCAAGTTCTTAAAAGTAGGAAATATATACTACTTGAGAGAGACAGTCCTTTTGTCATTCCAGGAGGCCTCTGCAATCTCTTAAGCTCCACAAAACTGAGAAGCAAAGAAGCTGTCAAGAACCAAAAAGTTCACATTCAACATTGATCACTTGAAGCTCAAAAATGTCCCCCCAAAAAACCAACCAAAACAAAAAAAGCCTTAGGGAAAACAATGAGAATGACTTAAGAAACAGCACAAAAATCACATATGGCAGTTTTTTAAATGGAAATGACAACTTTCCTTTCCACTATTTATTCAAAACTGGGAATAATAATATAAATATTCAATACTTTAAGTAATATAAACTACTCATTTGTATTTTATCTTGGTCTCTATTTTGCTACTTTTTTTTTTTCTATTTTGCTACTATTTAAATTAGTTGTAGTGTGTTGTCAGTCCTTTATTCCTTTCACCTTTTTCATTAAATATTTTCTTAAAGTAAGATATGAGTATATATGCTCATTATAAACATTTTAAATACCTAGTATATCAACAAAAGACCAAAAGTTTTCCTCTTCCCCACCCCCTCCATTTTATTCCATAGAGGAAACATTGTTAATAGCTTATTCTGTATCATTCTAGAGCAGTGCTGTCCAATAGAAATATGTGAGCTTCATACATAATTTTAACTTTTCCAGTAGCCACACTAAAAAAGTAAAAAGAAAAATGTGAAATTAATTCTAATAATATATTTTATTTACCCCAACATGTCCAAAATATTACCATTTCAAAAATTTTTTAAATTGTAAATTGCTTCCGTTTTTACTTCTGAATTAATTAAAATGTAATTCTAGACTTTCACTATACTTCACGGTTAACTATTTTGTTCATTTATTTCCCAGTTACTTTATCTTTGACATCTTTACACATTAACATCATGTAACAGTACTATGTATTATAATAATAGAGCTACCTTTTTTTTAATGGTTTCATGGTACTCCATCATATAAGTGCACATTAATTTTCCAATCTAATAACTATGTTGTTCTTTTTTTCTCTTTAGCTTTTAAAAACTCTCTATATACTGGTGATATTAGCCCAGTGTCTATTACATGTATTGCTTCCAAGCTCTCTCTATATGTTGATTTATATAATAAAAAGTGCTCTAAATACATGCAGGTGTTTTGAAAAAAAATAAATGCCATATTGTATATCTCCTTTGTACCCGCAGGCCTTTTATTGACTGCAAATGTTCTTTCATTATTAAACTTTTCAGGAGTTCAAAAACTTTCCTATACAGTTACCTATATTTGGCTCACTCCGTAAACCTGAGGAGACTGAAGCTTTGGCAAATGACCTGAAACTACCTTGATACTATGAAGACAATTTAATAGCCACTCACCTTGACAGCTCAGAATCTCCCAATAACAATACTAGCTGCTGGAGAGCAAAATTAAGGCTTAAAAGAGGGCACTGTTCAAAGCCAGGGCTGAAAGTACGGAAATTCTTATAGGCTAATGAAACCTTGTGTAAGAAAGGTAAACCTGCAGAATTCAGTTATAAGATTAAAACCTACAAGTTAACCACTTGCGAAAGGTCAGCCTAATAAGCCCTACAATTATCTAAAGATGCTTTATTTTAAAAAGCGAAGTCAAGCAGTTTAGTCAGCCTACCAGGATAGGAAGGAAGCAGAGGTTAGACACCTCCGAGTTTGCAGATACAAGTCTTCAGGCAACACCAGGAAGCTTTCACAGGTTTGCTTCTGGGGCACAATGTAGGTGTGGTTCAACATAATTCAGTCTGATAAATTTCAACAAGTCTGCTCCTGCTGATCTAATTCATTTCATTATATGAGCAGCTGATGCCAGTCGAGCCCTAAAGCTGTAGCCTTAACCACACATACTAACAACACCACATGCTTTCTTTTCCATAAAATTAACAGACAATGAAAGCTTGCCCATTGTGCTTTGGATGTACTTTCTCCACTCTTACACGTGGTCCCATGTCTGGGCCAGTAACCATTTACTGTGGACTAACAGCAGCAAGTGAACTGAGTGGGTGGCCACTTCCTGCAGAACTAGGTGATGGCTGTTCTGATAGAAAGCAGTGAGCAGGGCTGGCCCTATGCAGAGGCAGAGCTTGTGGCTGCCAACACATTGCAATTTGAGAAGCACTCTAAAGCCTCACCTCTCCCGAAATATCTCTTCCACCAGCCTGCTAAGGCAAAGTCCACTCCTCCTATCTGTCTTGTAATTCCAGCTATTAGATTTACTGCTTGCAGTAAGGCTAGGGAATCATTTTTGATGATGGCATGAAATATGTATGTTTCTTCAGAACCTAAGAAAACTAGAATAGAAATCTCTTCCATTACACAGAATCAATCTCTTGGCTATCAAAATAATCAAATTCTACCTTGGAAAACTAAGTCTAGGACTCTACTAGAACAGAAAGGAAGTTCAGGTTCTGACTGATACAAGAAGCCATCGTTAAAATATCATTTGCCATCATAATTCATAACATGATCACAGAAATTAGTATTTGAATAATGTTATGAAAAGCGTTATATTTATCTCCAGCTTTTCACCTCTCAAAATTCTCTGCTCCTTTTGGGTTTCCCATTCTGCTTCAGGATTCTGACCTAAATAAATAAGTTCTCATCATCTTCTGAATAATCTTTTTGTGTAATTCTCAGTAAGAATGGCATTCAAGTTTTAAAGAACAAATTAAAAAGGCCTACCTGAGTAAGGTAGACCTTACCAGTAAATAGCCAGGGGAAATATTAGTACCAAGTGGAGAAGAGAAGGGAAAACAGTAAGATGAACATAGAAACAAAAAAGTTGCAGATGTTCACCCACCCAGTTTTCTTCAAAGATAGCTATAGATACAAGTGACCATTCTGGGTTCTTTGCTGTCATATGCTACACCACTAGTAATCCTACCTGATAAAGCCTGATGATATGAGGGTGGCAAAGCATCTTCATGATTTGAACTTCCCGGAAAATCTTCTTCAAGTTTTCTTCATCTAGTTGGGTCTTGTCTATGATCTTGATGGCAACCTGACAACAAAGGAAGAAAATTTAATCTGATGCATTTTACTAAGAAGTTTACTAAGGAAAATTAAATCCACATAAAAACATTATATTCCACAAAATACAAGCTGCCAGTATTTTGTTTACAGAATGTCAATGAAGAAAACGAATTCAGGGCCGGCCCCGTGGCTTGGTGGTTGAGTGAGCGTGCTCCACTGCTGGCGACCCGGGTTCGGATCCCGGGCTCGCACCGACGCGCTGCTTCTCCGGCCATGCTGAGGCCGCGTCCCACATACAGCAACTAGAAGGATGTGCAGCTATGACACACAACTATCTACTGGGGCTTTGGGGGGGAAAAATAAATAAAAATAAAAAAAAAAAATCTAAAAAAAAAAAAAGAAAAGAAAACGAATTTACTCTTTTTAAAAAGACAGGAAATGGATTTCTAGCAAAGTTGGTTACAAAAGAACAGACTCCAAAAGCAAATGGGTCTTTCACCATTTCTTAAATTGCTCCTACAGTAAAATCCCATGACAAAACACTTCATTACTCCATAGATGTAAGTTACAGCCTGGGCATCATGCTTTGGTGCAGAGAATGATATGTAGGGCTTCCTATTAAGACAAGAAGCTTATATCATAAGTACACAATTTAGTGAGGTTCAACCAGAAATCCCACAAGTGCATTTCACATCTCACCGAGCGTTTGCATAACTCAATAACGGTGTTGGTGGTGGTGGCAGCAGCAGCAGTTACCATATACTGCATGTTTGCTATGTGCCAGGCATAATTCTTAGCAATCTGCAAGTACTAACTCACGACACCTCGTATTATTAACCTTGTTTTACAAATATGGAAACTGAGACACACAGAGATTAAGTAATTTACTCAAGATTAAGTAATTTACAGCTAGTATGTGGTAGATCCAGGACTGAAGCCCAGGGAGCTTGGCTTTAGCCAAATTCTTAATGGTAATGCTCTAAAAATCTGAAGATCTTTCTTAACTGCATATACACTGCTTCAGAATATAACATCTTTCTATTTTGCTCATTATTCCTAAGATACCCAGTAGCACATACATTTTAAAACAGAATGAAAGATGAAGGACTTTTTTTTTAATCTAAACTTCATTATTCTTAGCAAAATACCCAAAATATTGTGTTGCCCCAAAATATCTCTATATCTCAGTTTCAGTTACTCAATCAGCATGTAATCAACAAATATTAGTTGGATGAAGGACCAGGATTAGGCAAATCCTAGCCCTTTCAGTTCTTAAAATTCTATGATTTTATACACTGGGAGAGACAAAGGAAACTTATACTTATTGAGGGAAAAAAGAAAAACAAGGGAAGCAAAATATCAGCACTAAAAATGTTTAGCCCAGAGAAAAAACACTGTATGGAAGTATACGAGGTAGATGATTCAAATGTGTGAATGACTAGCACAAAAGTAACCTTGCTGAGAGTTGTTTCAGATGTTAGAATGAGAACTAATGGGAGAAAGGCACAGGGAGACAAATTTCAGCTCGATTCAAAGAGCATTTAAGCCCTGCCTAATGATGAAATGTGATAAAATGAGTTATGTGTAGCTCGAGCTACAAAGATTAATCAGACACAGCCTTAACTTCAAGGAGCTCACAATCTAGCAGGAGAAAGACATATGTGAAACAGACAAGACAGCATTGGAAATACAATCAATAAAGCTATGTACAAGGTCTAACAGTAGAACAAAGGATGGAGCACCACCTTCACCTGAGGGAGAAGTAGCAGACATAGGGAAAGACTTCACAGAGAAGGCAGAACTAGAGAAGAGAAAGAAGTGGGATAGGCAGAAAAGAGGGTAGGGAATTTTATGAGGAGAAATAGCAGAATTGTTAACAAATCTCACCAGAAGTTTGATTTCCTATAAGAAGTCTTGAACCACATGACCCCTGACCACCAGCATTTCTACTTCTAATTACTGTGCCAGATCACATATAGGACCTTAACTCCAGCAATCTGCCTGGCACCTGCACCTGGTTCTCTAAGAACAGTTCCCAAAACAAAAAAAATCACAGTACACAATGTCCTTTTATAGAATAAATATCTGGGTCTTAATAGTAATAATTATCAATAAAATGTTACACATGATTAGCACATTATATGTTACAGAGTGCTTTCATACACATAACAAGCTTACAAACTTGCAGACATATGCCCATAGCAGAGCTTCCCAACTGGTATGCCGGAAATGGGTTACAGATGTACCCGAGGCAATGGGTAGGCAATACTGGATCACCTCCAGCCTCAAGGAACCTCATTTGTTTACTCCAGAGAAAACATTATCATTTTCTGTGTGTGCCACAACGCACAAAATGTTGGCAAGCACTGCTAAGATTTGTTGATCATCAACTGTCCAAGGATTGGCCCTGAAATCCCCTATTCTGCCCATGCCTACTACTGGATGGCATAGAAAAAGTAACAGGGGGTGGTGAGTGAGGGTGCGGAACGAGGGCTGTCAATGCATTTGACCATATTTTTGCACTTTTTCAACCCTGAGAGAGTACTAGGTTACACTGTAATTGAGAGAGTCATATAGTGGGACCTCCTGATTCACAGGGGACTCATTCTGAATTTCATTTGTACTCTGAAGGAATAGGACTTTCACGAAGGTCAAGAGAAAACCATACCTACTCATCCATGAGAACAAAGTTGGCTCTTAAGATCTTATAACATATATTATGCACTTAACAAATATTTTTAATTTAATAAAATAATGGTGTAGTATGGATACAGTTTTACATTTCATAACAAGTATATCCGACTTCACCTAAAGGGAACATGGTCCCACATAATGAAATGTATTCTCATCTTTTCAGAGGAAACAGCATTAAGTCTAAACTGTTCTTAGAAGGTGGACACAAAGAGGCTTTAATAGATTAAAACATCAAATTCCTGTCTACTCTTCAATGAGATTCAAGATTCAAGAAGACACGGAAAGGCAAAGCTTTGTCTGGCAGCTGAATATAGTGTCAAAAGGAAGGACTTTGGTGTCAAGCTGCCTAGGTTCAAAACCTTGGAAATGTCCCTTAATGTACAACCTTCAGCAAGTTATTTAATTTTTCTATGGCTCCTTATCTATAAAATGTGGGCAACAATAGAACCCACTTTAAAGGTTGTTGGGGATTAACTAATTATGCATGCAACCTGCTTAGTATAATGCCTGGCATATGGTAAACACAATATATATTAACTACAGGTACCACTGTCGTTATTTATTTGTTTTTTTCTGGAATCAAGCCTTCAACTTCAGGCATTCTGTGACAAGGATTACATTTGCTTCAGTAAGCAACATAATCTTGGATCTGAAACACATCAATTCCTTACTCAACGGGCGAGTTGGGGGGCCAAGAAGCAAAATAGCTAACCATTTGTAGACAGCGTTCAGAACCAACCGGCTGCTTCCAGCTGATGTGGGAAGAACACAGAACGAATGGGGCTAGGAAAAAAATGCATTCCATTCAGGAAAGCCACAATGAGCCACAGGATGGAATCCATCCAAGACCTGATCCAAGGGCTGTGCCAGAGAGAGAATGGTCTGCATCTTCACGGCAGGCCAGACCCCCATTCCATCCATAATAAGCAGCTAACACCAGAGAGGAGGATACTCAGTGCTACCTGGCTCATATACCTGATAGACCACTTAATGGAGAAGGCAACTTCCTAAAGCTCAGCTCCTACATTAGCTGCAAACTGCAAAGTGGAGATTTTCTAAAAAGTGGAAAAATACCGATGAAACAGAAAAACTATCAAGTCAGAGAGCAGGTAGTTGGCAATCAGGTATGATTATTTTGAGAATAACTGAAGAGATCAATGATCATGAATTTTCACTGCTACAGATTACTGGAGGCTATATAATAACGGTTTTAGTTTAAAGTACACATCAGTTGCTTGAAAAATTAAATGTGTCCACAGCAAAAGGTAAATTGGTAGGTAAATAGAAGATAAACTCTCAAAGAATGTTTTTAGATTGATGCTGAAATCTATGAATCACATACTCGCACTTATATATGAAAAGCATAACAAGAAGGAAACTTCCAACACATTACCAAGAAATCATATATTTCTAAAGTTTGCCTGTTCTACATAGAATTCTTTTATCTTGCAAAGAGCATGATTTTGTGAATTGACACTAACATTAATCAAACAAGGTATTGTATCAAATACATTGCTAAATAGACACGGATTGCGGGAGTCCTTACAAATTTCCCCACCCAAGATATTTCCATTCAACAAACTCTTCTTTTTTAACTGGCATGTGGTACAAAAAAAGTATTAAATTCAGATCATGCCAAATTTAAAGTCATAGTTCTTTATTACTGATTCTAGAAGGGGAAAAATAGTCATTTTCCCCTTATAGGTCTCACTTCTAAACCACAGTTCCTTTAACTCTTACCTCATTTTTGCAAGCACAGTAATGCTCACAGGGAATGAAAATTTTTTAAAAATAGTGGTTTTTTCACAACAGGCAGTAATTCACTTGAATGTCCTGACACCACATTCACAGCCAAGATAAGATGACAGAATAAAAACCAATAAACCAAGGAAAAGTTCAGTATTGAGATCAAAACAAACCAGCCTTCCTCCTCACCTGTCAGAAATAATTGGTCTCTTCATTCAGGGATATGCTATGACAAATGGACAGTTAAAAGAGAGGAAGAACTTAGGAAGAAAATGCAAAGACCACAAGCGCTAAAATTCCTCCAAAAAGAGAAACAGTGCACCCTTAGACTAGTATACAGATGCACACATAATAATTTCACAGAATACAGTAAACAGGCTGAATGCTTTTAAGAATGGAAGAAAAAACATTACGACAGTGTGGAGAAAAGCTTACTTTTTCAATATTCTTTTAAGGAAAGAAGTTCTCCTCATTGAAATGTCTGAAAATTTAGGCAGATATCAAACTTTTTGCCATTGTGAATTATTTTCAATGGGGATGTTTTTATATTAACTTCTGTAGCTAAATTTTTATTCTCTATTTCTATGA